CCCCAAAACCCCAAAACCCCAAAACCCCTAAATATTGCTTAATAATTGAATTATTTGTTGAGCAGGCTAAAGCCGGAGATGTTGACAGACTTGCGCTCTTCAGAGTTATCTTCTTCGATTCAGCACTGCTCATCGAGGACTTGCTCCTTGGGCTTCCACAGCTTGTTTACTTTCATTAAGAGGTAGTCTCTGTGAATCTTATCAACAATGTAGATGAATCTCTGGTTGCTTATGTTCCTATCTAGCTCTGGTCTGTTAACGCTTGAAAAAGATTTAAATAATGAACCTTTCTCATGGAATGATGACTGGGATCCTATTTCACTCGTAAATAAACTTGATGGTAGCTGTAGTTAGAAAAGTAAAAACTTACCTTCCTACTGAGGTTCTTTAGAGAAGTTCTTATAGTCGGTTCTGCATCGAGTTCTTCAAGAATATCAGTGAGAGCACCGTTTGTTTCAATAACTTCTACCATCAAGGAAAGAAGTTCACTTGCTTCCTCAAGTTCGGTTAGGATATCATAATTAGTTCCTTGTATGATCTTCTTAAGTTTAGTGTAATTCTCTTGAAAAGTAGAGAGATCCCTCTGAAACTCTTTCTCAAGCTCTGCTGGGAGGAACTTCAGGATAAATCTCTGGTAACTGACATCCTTATTTAGACCTCCAGTACTCAAGGAACTCCTTTTCATATTCTTTAATGTTCTCTTTATTTTTGAACTCAACTAACTTATCTCTGGTCTGGAGGATGTCATTCTTGAATGTGCCAAGGTCACTGATTTCTTCATAACAGGTATCAAAGGCACTACTTCTCTGCTTTATTAAGTTTAACTTTTATATTAGGGTTGCGGTCTTCTGGCCTGACCATTTTAAGTTTGTTAAGTAAACTTTTCAGGTTATCGAGGCTCAAAGTTGAGTCGAGATTTGGTAACTCCTTTATGACCCTATTTCTGTTTATGCAGAAGATTGTTAATGACGATGGAGATAGGCATCAGCTTATCTAGAGGGTGACAAAATTGGGGCTTACCTTCATTCTCATATTCGTAGAATGGGTCGAATTCAAACCCGTTATCTTCCATTTTGCAGAGAGCCATATTGGCTTGGATCTCTGAGTATTTGGTGCTAAAATCCTGCTTTAACTTGATCAATGATTTGATATTTTCAGTGAATTTTAGGCTGTAGGACTCTATTGAGGAATACTTCAGAAACACTGAGGTGAGGATGATCTTGATCTGAGCCTTCTTCTCCCTTGTGTTTCGGAAACCATGAGCGTAGTTATCATTAGTCTGCTTGAACAGCTTCCTGATCTTCCCATATTTGTGCAGTAAATTGTCGATTTTTTTTACTCGAGAATTGGTTGCCTTAAACAGATTATTTCTGAATTCTGATGCTTCAAAAGTTACGAATCTTTTTATCTTGAATTCCTCAGTAAAGTTAGTCATGAGCTCGATAGCATAATCTTTAATCCCGATTTCAGTGCTTTGTTCGTCATATTGGTAATAAGTATTCTCTACAGAGTTAATAGGGGTGCTTACTCTGGATATTAGCTATCTGAGGTTGAATCCCATTGATTAGCTTCAAGACTTTATCCCAGAGCTTACTCTTGAAGAAGAGGTATCGTACAAGCAAGCAACTGTTTTCTACCTTGGACTTGTGCTTATTTGTTCTTAGGATAAATCATGGCTAAAGATCAGATGTGACGATACCAATGTATTTCGAACCAAATTTATTTATCCCTTTTGGCACTCTTTAGTAATTCCTCAACTGAGTTGTGTAGGTCGATAATTTTCTGGGCTAATCTATCGTCTTCAATGATATTGAACGGCTTCTCTGCAATCTCAATGATCCTTCATGCCTTAGTGATCACTCTGGTTAGACTGAGCAGAAAGTTCATAGTGGTGACAGAGATCGGGATAGGTTTGCTCACAATCACCTTGTTGTAATAATGGTCAAATATATACAGGAATAAGGAATTTGCCTTGGCAAATTCCATTTTTGCCAATACGAACCCTTTCAGAACATCTGCTTCGATGTAGAGTAAGCCAGTATTGAATGATATTCAAGCAAGATTGTAACAACATCCTCAGAGTTCGATCATTGAGTCATGATTCCCTATAGGCTTACTCTCACAGTATGGATAATTCCACTCGAAGAAGATGGACAACTCTCTGCTAGAGTTGAAGTCAAGATGTCCTAATGAATTCAAGGTGTTAATCCATTGGATATAAGAAGTGTATAGCTCCTGTAGCCCCTTAAGGTACATTAAGTCTCTATTTTATCTTGATATTTGCGAACATGATACTCCGGTTGTAGTTAAATTTCTCCAGCTCCTTCTTGATCTCCTGATATACCTGAATAATCTTATGTTTCTTTGCAAATTTCTTGAAAGTCGGGCTATGAAGTATGAAAGAGACTCTAAATCTATTCTGCGGGATAGTTGAATTAGGCTAATATAGGCTTACACAAGGTCCACTTTACAGAAAGTGGCTAGCTGCAGTGCCTTCATTTTTAAATTAATAAATAATATTACCCAAAAGTGATTTATGAAGAGGGGTTTTGGGGTTTTGGGGTTTTGGGGTTTTGGGG